GGTTGAGGAAATCAAGGCTCAGAGAGTTTCAGTGACTTGCTCAAGGTTCCTCAGTTTGTAATTTGTAGAGCTGAGATCCATCCTTAGAGTGTCTGATTTGGAGTTGACTTTTAATCCAATATGGTACCTAGGGTGCCTTTCATCAGAGTCATATATAATAAAAGGAATTTGATGGTTTCATGGGCATTTTTTAAAATTTTTACACCTGCCTAAAGACATTTTTATTTGTTTTTGTCTTACTCCAAAGTCCAGTGCCTGATAATGTATATTATACTACATATGCTTATTCTGAAAGAGCAAGTGGACACCAAACAGTAATTTTAAAATGTGAATGTAGGTAACTGGGTCTGGCAGCACCCACCTATAATCCCAGCTACTTGGGAGGTAGAGTCAGGAGGGTCACAAGTTCAAGGCCAGACTGGGCAACTTAGAAGACCCAGTCTCAAAACAAAAAATTAAAAGGGCTGGGGACAAAGCTCAGTCGTATAGAGCGCCTGGGTTCAATCCCTAGTACTACTATTAAAAAAAAAAAAAAAAAAGGAGTATAGAGTACTGGATTCCATCCCCAGTACCACAAAAATAAATAAATAAACAAAGTGCATAGAAAGCCACCGGTAGGGGAGCCTCTGTTTGGTAACAACCTTGCTTATGTATTAAACATCTCACTGCACTCTGTGGTATTTGCTGATTGGACAACAACTGCCCTTTAAATTGATTCCCTAATCACGGTAATAATGACTAGGATTAGGCCAGTTCAATGGGCCCATGCTTTCCCCAGGGCTCACAAAAGGCTTCTCTGCAGATCCAGGCTTTCCTGGCAACGAGGCATTGACTAGCAGGGCTGCTGTGTTCTCCACGGGTAAACAGCAGCCCTCGGTGCAAAATGAAGGAAGTCAAGGAACAGAGGGAGGCCTCTCTGGCCAAACAGGAAAGTCACACCAAACTGGGCAGCAGAGGCCTGTGAACAGCCTCCTGTTTCCTGATGATGCGGAAATGGGTGTTTTTGTTTGAGCATGTTTAGGTAATGGAGAATCCAATGACTAGAGGAAAATAGGTGATTAAACAAAAATTTGGACACAAAGGTTCCTAGAAGCTCTGTTAACGATACCCAAAAGGTGACAACTCAAATGTCCATGAAGAGATAAAGGGACAAGAATAATGTGGTATAACTGTACAGTGGAACCTTAGGAATGGAGTACTGATGCACGCTACCATGTAAGCCTTGAGACACTGTATAACTAAAAAAATACAGACACAAAAGGCCTCAGAGAGCGTATAACTTTATTTATATGAAATATCCAGAATCAGCAAATGCCTAAGACTCTGGGAAGTAAGGCAGATTGGTGGGTGGCAGGGGTGGGTGCGGGAGGATGGGGAGTGACTGCTTGTCAGGTACGGAGTTTCCTTTCGAATTGATGAAAGTGTTTTGAAACTAGATGAGCAGGTCAGCTTTTTGTCTCTGTGACCCAAATATAAGACCAACTTAGAGGAGGTAAAGTTTGTTTTGAGCTCACAGTTTCAGAGGTTGCTGTTCATGGTCAGCTGACTCCATCCCTTTGGGCCTAAGGTAGAGCAAAGCCTCACGGCGGAAGGTGAGTAGTGGAGGACAGCTGCTTGCCTCATGGTGTTGTTAGGAAGCAGAGAGCAAAAGGAGGAGCCGTCCGGACAAGATAGGACCCCCAAAGGCCACGCCCCCCCATGACCACCTCCTCCAGCCATGCCCCACCTGCCTACAGTTACCACCCAAGTACAGAGGTCCWCAACTTATGAATCCATCAAGTGGATTAATCCACTGATTGGGTGTTGTGGTTTGGATGTGAGTCATCCTCCCCAGTCTCCTTTGTTTCTGCAGAATGCTCAGAGGTGAAATGACTGAATTGTGAGAATTGTGAGAGGCAGGTACCATGTGGCTGGAGGAGGTGGGGCACCGGGATGTGCCCTGAAGGGTCGTTCTTTCTGTGGTCCCTCCTTCTCCCTCTGTCTCTCTGCTTCCTGACCCAGGCACAAGGGGCACTGCTTTTCTCTGCCATGCCCTTATGTCATGATGTTCCTCCTTACCTTGGGCCCAGAGCTATGGACCGAGATCTCGAAAACCATGAGCCCCAAATAAACCTTCCTTCCTCCAAGTTGTTCTTGTCAGGTATTTTGGTCCCAGTGACACAGATGCTAACTTAACCATCAGGTTACAGTCCTCATAATCTAATCGTTTTACTTCTGAACATTCTAGTACTGACAGAGGACCTCTTGGGGGACACCTCATGTCCAGACCATAACATTGAACATGGAAGGTTGCATGACATTGCGAATGTCCTTAATGCCCCAGAGCTGTATACTTTAAAAGATGAAAATGGAATATATATTATGTAATATGTATTTGATAACTTTTTAAAAAGGAAAACCATGAGGTTACTTGTTGCTCTTGGACACCAGGACAATAAATCTCCCCCAAATAAAATTATCAAGAGAAGAAGAAGAGGTGGACCTTTGTTGATAAGAGTAAATCAGGAGAGAACGGTGGTTTGGGGGCTGCGAGGGGGGGCTGGTAGTGAAACCTGACTCAATGAGCCCTTTGGGGCATGGGGAGGTGACTGTGTGGGTGACTTTAAAAAGGTGGAACCTGAGAGCCTCGGCTTGGGSTCCCTTAAAGAACTGCAGTGACTGTAGTAGGCAGCCCAGTGACCTGGGTGGGTCACTGACCCAGTGGTGGCCTGTAAAAGCCGAGACTGGCTTGGAGCATCGTGAGATGAGTAGTGAGGGAGCAGCTTCCCAGGTAGACAAGCCTGTGCTGCCCAGCGTCACCTCTCTTGGCTCCCGTTACTCCTGCCCTGCAGACGCTGTGTCCTGAGCTATGTGAGGTCCCCATTTCTGCTTCTGTTCCTCTTGCTCCCTCCCAGCAGCTGAGGTACTAGTTCCTGACTGTCAGAGCCAAGGTTCAAGGGCAGAAGAGCCAGCAGACCATCCATTCCCTTGGGCACCTGGGAACCCTGGGAAGACAGGAGAGGGCCACAGTGATCTAGTAGCATGTGACTTCCCCAGTTTGCATACTAATTTCAGCACAGGCTACTGTTCCCCTGAACATGACGCTACCACCTCATTTTAAGTGAGCAGAGCTGATTTAGTAAGGGAGCCCACAGTGTGGCTGTCTTTAATAGTTGACCCAGAGCTGAGCGGGTGCTGGTTACCATGGCAACTTCTTTGAAAAAGTGGTCTTTCCTTTTCCAGAATGTTCCCTGACATTCTTTTGCTACTATAACTTATCTTAAAAAAAAAAAAAAAAAGTTGGCACACATCCACGTGTACAGAGCCACCAACGTCTGGTCTTGGGGTCCACTTTGTAAGGAGCACCTCCTGTGGCAAGTGGAGAGGTGGAGGGATGATTGGAACAGGGTTGGGCCTCTGTGGCTCTTCCAAACCCTCTACTGCTTTTGACCTTGTCCTTTATCTTAGTCAACCAGGACTGCTTCGTGCCTACACACCTCTGTGCAGGCTGGCCTCTGTCCCGGACACCAGTCCACTCCACCCCTTCTCCCCAAGACTACCTCCAGTTCACTCTTCAAAACTCACCTCAGGAGTCACCTCCTGCCTGACCACTCCAAGGTCGGTTAGATTCCAACCCTGTTCCCTTAGACTTACTGATATCTTTCTTTCCTTTTTTTTTTTTTTTCATTGGTTCTTCTTCGTTACACATTTTCCCTGGTATCTTTCTCCTGCCACTCCTGTGGATGTTGCTCCTGTGTCCTGCTAGGCTCCTGATTCTCAAAGGCTAGTCTGCCAAAGTGTGGATCTCACTCCATTCCCAACTCTAAGCATTGGCAACCCAGTTCTCTCGTTTATAAAAATAGGAATMGTCATTCCTGCCTCATCGGGTTATTTATTTGTAAAATAATTTTTCTTCTTAGTATAGGGACTGAACTCAGAGCTGCTACATTACCCAGCTATATCCCCAGTCCTTTTTATTTTGAGACCAGGTATCACTAAGTTGCTGGGACTGGCCTTGAACTTGTGATCCTCCTGCTTCAGCCTCATGAGTCACTGGGATCACAGGCATTTGCCACCATGCCTGGCTAAAATTTGTAAAAATACATAATGCCTAGGACATAGGAGGTATAAGAGTAAAGCAAATATAATAGTTACTACAGTTGCTGTTAATCATCGTCTCCTTCTCAGGCCTAGTGGATACTCAGTCACCTGGTATAAAGTGGATGGAGCTGGGGTTAATCTACTTGCAGAGATCAATCTAGAACTGTGCTATCCAGTACAGTAGGCCCCAGCTTCATGAGGCTACGGAGCACTTGTCCAGACAGATTCACTGTAGGTGCAAAAATGCACCATATGCTGAATATTTAGCATGGAAAACAGAAAGTGAAATATCTCAATTTTATATTGRTTACATCAATATAAATTGAATGGCTGAAATGAATGGCAAACTTTTGGATATTTTAGGTTAAATAAAACATATTCTTAAAAATAATCTCATTTTTTAAAAAAAAATGAGACAGGAAACGTAAACATGTTGACTACATTGTATTTCTAGGGGATGACATAGATCTAGAATGCGCCCAACCTGCCATTACTATAACAAATATTCATAAAACCTCATTTATGTTCAAACACGTGAGCTGTGGGAATGTAGATAATGCAGTTAGAAYAATGATTCCTTGAGAATCAAAAGTGTGTCCAGTCAGGCACTGCAGCACACACCTGTAATCCCAGCAACTCAAGAGCCCGAGGAAGGAGGATTGCAAGTTCGAGGCCAGCCTGGGCAACTTATGGAGACCCTGTCTCAAAACAAAACAAAACAAAACAAAGAAGGGYTGGGGATGTGGCTCAGTGGTAGAGCACCCTGGTCCAACCCCAGTGCTGGGGACAGGGCAGGAATGTACCCTTGTGTAAAAAAGATCTCTAATCGATTAATAAAGGCTTTTCTACACAGAGTTAATAAACTAATAATGCATAGAAGTACACAGAAAAGGGACTGAAGCTTTCTGGGGCTTTTCCAGGYTCGCTGTGATCCCGAGATTCAAGAACTGCGTACCTGGCAGAAGAAGCTACGGGAGGACAAGTACATTCGCCATCGAGTGAGAATATTCTGGATGAAACAGGAGCGCAAAGGTCAGTAGCTTGGCTCACTGTCCTCAGTGTATTCAGGAAAAGCCTGATCCTTCTTCCGAGCTAAGAAGGAAGCCCCTGAGGCGTTATGAGGACCTCGTGTCTACACAGAACTCAATTTGTACAGGGCCAAGGGACTGCGTCTTAAGATTCTGCCCTGGAATGACAGAGTTGAGATTATTTACATGGTCATTTTCTTCCTTCAGGGGTGACCTTGGTGTCACCTTGTATTTTCAGGTTTTTAGTTTTTAAGCTACAAGACATAAAAAAAAACAAAAAAACAAAACAAGATGAAACAAAAAAACAAAAGAAACCATTATTTTAGAAACAGCATGTCTGCAACCATTCATTCTTTTAAATTTTTGATTGTGTGCCTGAACTTAAGTGGTGTTTTGGACCTGTCTTCTCCCTTTCTGGGATGGTGAGTCTTAAGCGTCAACTTGACTGAGCCGTGGGATGTTAGATAGCTAGTAAAATTATTTCTGGGTACATCTGTGAGGATGCTTCTAGAATTGGGATTTGAGTTGGTGAGCTGAACAGAGCAGATGGCTTCATTTCCCAGTGTGGGGGGCGTTTTAGTCAGCTTTGGCTGTTGTGGCCAAAGACCCGACAAGAACAGTTTTAAGGAGGAAAAGATTATGTGGAGGCTCACGGTTTCAGAGGTCTCAGTCCGTAGACAGCTGCCTCCATTCCTCGGGAATCAAGGTGAGGCAGAATATCATGGAGGAAGGTTGTGGTGGAAGAAAGCAGCTCAGGACATGAGCTGAGAGAGAGAGAGAGAGAGAGAGAGAGAGAGAGAGAGAGAGGAGAGAGAAAAAGAGAGAGAGAGAGAGAGAGCCCAGAATCCACTGTCCAGGGACAACTTATGTGCCCATAAGCACACCCCCATTGACCACATCCTCAAGCCACATTCTGTCTTCATTTACAGGTTAATCCCTGTTTGGGGATTGATGTACTGACTAGTACACAATTCTTTCCCCTGCAAACCTTCTTGCATTGTCTCATGCATGAGCTTTGGAGGACACTCGTGTCTAGACCATAATGGTGGGCATCATTCAATCTGTTGAGGGCCTGACAGAGCAAAAGGTGAGGAAGGTTGAGTTCACTCTGCCAACTCTGCCAATTTGAGCTGGGACGTTGGCTTTTTCCTGCCCCTGATACTCCTAGTTCTTAGGCCTTCAGACCTGAGCTGGACTCTACACCGTGGGCTTCAAACCTTTGAGGCACACCCGCTTGAGGATGGCCGATGGGGAGGCTCTCCGATCTCCGCATTCCTGTGAGCCAGCACCTTATAGTAAATCTCTTTCTTATAGCTCAGATTCCGTAATTCCCTTTCTTCCTTCCTTTCTTTGTATATATATAATCTATAATTTCCTATGGCACTGTTTCTCTGGAGAACCCCATTATACTTCTTTTCTACCAGGGTCACCGTTTCCCTTTAAAGTTTTAAAAAAAAATTTGAACTTTAAGTTGCTACATATCCACAGTAGGGAAATTGAGAAAGCAGTAGCCAGAAAAGAAGGTAAGACCCAGAAACCCCATTAAAACTAATGTTTGAGTGTTCATCCTGCTAAATGACTCTTTCCAGTACCAAAAATACAAATAAATATATATTCCTATTTTATTAAAAGTGAGATTATGTATAAATTCTGTTATATGGTCTTCTTTTTCATTTAATATTCTCTGAATATCATTCTGGTTATCAGCCAGAGAGGAGGTCACGATCTTTAGCACTCCATGGTATAGCTCACCAGAAATGTGGAAGGAGATTCATGATATATTTGCAAATGGAAAAAAAAATTCTGAGCTACAATTTTTTATTCAAACAGAAGATATACACATGAAAAACAGATGTCTGAGCAGTTTGGAAGAAAACCAATGATAGTTATCTTTGGAAATTTGGACCAGAGGGGAGGAAGTACAGTATTGGAGTCTTTTAAATAACCGTGGAGTACTTTACAAATATGAAGACCATGGGCAAATAGTCATCCACAGCTCAGTGGGCCACAAGGCATGCAAACGACCCTGTAATCATACCGGCCTCAGAGGGCTACAACCCCCAGTCTCTCTCTCTCTCTCTCTCTCTGATACCAGGGATTGAACTCAGGGGCACTCGCCCACTGAGCCCCATCCCCAGCCCTATTTTGTATTTTATTTAGAGACAGGGTCTCACTGAGTTGCTTAGTGCCCTGCTGTTGCTGAGGCTGGTTTTGAACTCCCGATACCCCTGCCTCAGCCTTCCAAGTGGCTGGGATGACAGGCGCGTGCCACTGTGCCCAGCCAGTCTCTTTTTAGTTCTTAAAAAATGCCATGCCTCTTACCTAGGGACTTCACCGTTCCCATTCCTGTCCTGCTGGGTCACCCTTCCCGGCCTCTTCTCATCCTTCTTCTCATCCTCAGAGAGGACCCCCGAGGGACCCTACTAAGGGTCGGGGGCAGGAATCAGTTTATTGGAGCTCTCAAGAGGGGGTGATCTGGACAAGTTCTGTTTTCTCCCCAGAACTGCCTTCCGCTCTTCTCTCTGAAGTGCCTTTCTTTCATGGCGTGTTGGCACGGGGCGGGTGGTTCCTTGTCTTTTCTGTATGCTCGGAGTTCACAAAGTCTAGTCTTAAAGTCTCAGTCTCAACCCCAACTCAATGCTCACCCAGCCCCYCTGCCCCCCCCCACAGGGGCTTGGGTCCAGGAAGAGGGTTGTCTGGTCTTTGTGCCTCTGTCCCCTCCTCTTCTGAGTCTCTTCCCTCCTGTGGGTCTGGGTGGCAAAGAGGGAGATACAAAAGGACACTTTCTATCGCCATCAYCTCTTGACTGCCACTGCTTCAGCCCAGCCCACCTGGCCACCCGTGACCTGTGGCAGGCCCCGGCGTTGGCTCTCTGACTTGGCGTGTTTCATTTGGGTTCTTCCTCAGGGGAAACAGCAGGCTGCAGAGCCCMCGACCTGCCCTGACTCCCCCTCTTCTTCCACCCCTGACCCCAGTCCACGCCCAGCCTTTTTCTCTTGGGGTCTCCTTACCCAATAGCCAGGCCTCTCCAGGATGGCACAGGAAAGACAGCTAGCCCTCAGAGTGGCCTCATGCTCAAAAGTAACAGCGCCAGGAAAGGGACAAGCCCATCTCATGCGTCTCCTGATATCAAGGGCAGAGGACACATTTCTTATGCGCTACTCCTGTCCAGAACCCATAGCTTGAATGTGAGAACGAGGAAAGAGACGCACAGTGAAGGACATGTTATAAAATAATGATTCTTCAAAAAAGGCCGAAGTCAAGAGAGACAAAGAGGAGAGGAGACCAAAGAGACAGGGCAGGCGAATTCTGTGCACCATCCCAGACTGGGTCCTGGACAGGGAAAAATTTTGATAAAGGACATTAAACCTGAGATTCAGGCTTCATATTAGCTAACAAGTAACAGTACTAACTTTCCTGATTTTGATCAGTGAACTCAGATCAAGTAAGAAATTGCCTTATTTATTTGTTTTCTTGCAGTGCTGAGGATTGAACCCAGGGCCTGGCACCTGCTAGGCCAGCACTCTACCATTGAGCCACGTCCCCAGGCCTCAGCTCTTGCTTAAGATACATGTTGAAGGTGTTAGGGGTCAAAGGACATGATAGGCAGATTGGTCTTAAGTAATTCAGAAACAGATAATGTGTACCACACAAGCACATGTGCATCTACACATTGAAAATACCAACGTAAATATGGTGAAATACAAAAAAATTGGTGCATCTGGGAGTTCTTTGTACAATTATTGCAACTCTTTTGCAAATTCAAGATTATTTTGAGCTTTTAAGTGAAAAAAAAAAAAATTCCAGTGCCTCACATCCAGAGATCCTGACATCATTGCTGTGGGTGAGCCCCAGGCATCAGTGTTGAGTGTTGATCTTCCCCGGTGCTGACGTTCAGCCAGGGTGGAGACCCTAAGGAGGTGCAGGATCTCCAATTACTTTGCGCTCTTTTAAAACATGGAGTCCAGAGGCAGGTGTGTTGGTGCACACACAGGAAGCGGAGGCAGGAAGATCAAAAGATCAAGGTCAGTCTGGGAAACTTAGGAAGACCTTGTCTCAAAAAAATAAAATACAAAGGGCTGAAGATGTAGCTCAGTGTAGAGTCCCCCTGGTGTGATCCCCATATTGTGGGGGGCAGGCCACAAAAACATGGAGTCCTCTAGGCATCCAGTTCTCAGCTCTGAGCAGCAAGGCAAGTCCAGCTGATGCTTGACTGGGCATCTGGGTTTTGTTTATCTGGCAATTTTGTGTCTTTCCCACAAGAATGTAGGCTCCATGAGAAAAAGATCTGGTTTGCCTGTCTCATCCCCTGGCATAGCACCTGGCACAAAGTGAGCATAAGTAAAAATGAGATTCATGAACGGAACTGTGAGGCTTAAATGAGTCAATACCCAGAAACGGCTAGAGAGTAGGAGCACATCCCATTGGGGATCCCTCATAAAGCAGCAGCTCGGGCTCTGATCACCGCTGGCTCAGCCCAGGCCACTCTCCCATGCACAACTGCCACTTCATTACACTTCAGAACTGGAAGACAATCAGGGCTATAATCAGCTTAAAGGTCAAGGGAAGTACAGTGTCTATTTATTGCTATTTTTCCATATTCTTTGGAGTTGATTTGCTGTGGGTTGATTTGGCTTGCTCTGGAGCCAGGAGAGCGGAGCAGATTGAATGGCGTTACGGGCCAGCAGGAGGGCAGAGGGGAAGCAGTCAAATCTGGCCACCTGCTGCTGTCTGCCTGTGGCCTTCCTAGGGCTTCAGGAGCAGTGCTTTCTGAACAATAGGGGTCTTCAGAAAAAGCCCCAGTGTGGAACAGYGGTGGACGCCCTTTTGTGAAATGGCCAATTCTAAAGGTTGTCTCCAGGTCTGGGATCACTTGAGAGGAAATGGGGAGCTGGAGACAGAGCTCAGTGGTAGAGACTTCTCTAGCATGTGCAAGGCCCTGGGGGGGAAAAAAAAAAGTAAAAGTTGCCCTTGAAATCCAAACTACCACTTCTTTCCACGCGA